TGTCACAGCGATTTCCGAGAAGTTGACGCAAAAAGTTTGTCGTTCGTGTTAGATGATTGTTGATGTTTATTTTCCGCGTGTTCATCCGCAACGTCATTTTCTACAAAACTTACAAGCGTAAGCAAACAGCGTTATGTAATTAAACGGACGGTAGCATGGCAGATGGTTGGTCCGTAAATTGTCGCGTCCACTAATGTTGTAAACTCCTTCGGATACTGTTTCACACTAACCTGGTGCCAACCTGAACGCTTGATACCGGAGTAATAGAATTCGCGTGATCAGCTGTAAATACACAATGAAATATTTTCACGTTCAACGAACGTGCCCCATGTCGCGATTTAGCCTGGTGAACAGCAATCTTCTTCGTAGCTGCATGTGCCAGACTTGAACGCCCAAAGCGGAGTCATCGAAAGGATCGAATTGATTGATGGTATTAAACTATTTTCCTTATTCGGCGCAATAAATATCTCCTATCTGAAATTCGAGAATCCATTTTCCTTCCTGGTGAACAATTTAAGATAACATTGACAAAGGTTCGTTAAATAATGGACATAACATTTGTGTACAATTTTTATAATCTTTTAAAGTAATTTTCACCGTACAACTTTAGATGTTTAAAAATTATAATGGATTGGTTATTCGAATGAAATGCTACTTTGGAGTTATCGCTTTCCTGTTGACATTTGAGTTATGTACCTATTGAGAATTGATATACATAGTAATGGCTGTAGTGATGCAAACTTTTAATTTTTCACTCTCATTAAAAAAATTAGGAAAAGTGACAGAAATTTATGTGTGTATAAAACGATGAATCTAAAGTATGTTTACAGGCTTTGCCTAAACTGACCACGATCAGGCAACTGGTCTACGAATCTTTTCAAAATTTTAACAAAACAATCCAAATTTATCAAGATTATCGTTTTCAAAATGTGATGTCAATAACATAAGCATTACTAAAACAATGTTAATTCGACTAATTTAATTATCTAGGTACTTAAACTTTAAAGGTTACAATTGTTTAATTCCAAGGAAAATAATTGTTTCCTTTTACTTCTATCAATAAGAAGTAACTTGTTATGTTTATATAATATACGGTTGTAATTCAATTGAACTGTTCTCGTCTGTTAACCACTTTTCTTAAAAGTATATCCAAAAGCATAAATTCATATGAAAGTAAAAGTATTACATTTATGAGACAACTTTTAAAAACAAGGAATGCAGTATATTACAATCATTACATGTCATTCATTCCACCTACGAAGGAATGTAAGCCTACCTCAACTGCATTCTTCGATGCGATGGATGGTACTACATCCAGTGATAAAAGTTTTTTCTTGTTATGATAGAGCACACGCCGTTATACGCCTACCTACTTATGGCATGATTAATTTCATTATTAATTTCTACACCGTGCTATTACAAGAGTCATACGCCACGAGGGAATGCATTTTCACATCACGATATCTCCTTTATGCGTAGGAGGCTTCATTCATTTGTTTAGTGTTTTCTGATGGGACATCGTTATGACGAGTTGTATCGATTAATCAAATGCATTGCAGCGAATTTTTAGAAGAAATGGACGTTTACAACTTGCATATAATTTACTGTACCCATACCACTGTTGCAGTCTCTTATTTTCTATTCTATTCTATATTCTATTCAGATTTTTGAGAAGTTTTGAGAAAAGTTTTTTTTTATTAATCTTTAATACGAGCTGTACAACTTGTCATAATGGACATTTGGTAAATTCGTTTAACTTACAGATCACATAGCACGTGGATGACCATCTTGAAATATTGATTGCTTGTTTCTTTTCTGTTTTTTGATCAGCGGGGTGCTCCCTTTTAACCTGTTTTCCGTATAGGTTATATGTATATGCTTCTGCATCTAGCTGGTTAGGGTGTGTTAGGAGATTTTCTCTGTATTTAATTGCATATCTGATTAATTCTTCTCTGATGGTTGGGATCTTTAGCCATTTTTCACCATAGAGCATTTATGACTGTTAGTATTTTTCATTGGAGTGACTTCAGTTTCGCCATATGACTTATTAATATTCCCCATAGATAAGTTTTTCATTTACATGTTCACTATTTCCACATTGATTAATATTTTTCTAAATCCACGTGTATTTCCCTAGTAAATTTAATGTAGATATTAAAATTGTTAACCTTCTTTTATTTTAGATCACAATTGCAAATTTTATGGCTTCCACGTCAAAGACCTGCATCAAGTGCACGGCTCTACCTATTCAAATTCCAGCACCGCCATTTTGCTTCTGTATTTACATCTTTAAACTCGAAATTTTAAACAAAAATTCATTTAATAAATACTTATAAAAATACCTTCCGTGTCTATACACTTTTCGTGATAACCACTTTTCAATTTACCTATCATTGTAAGGCCTCCAGGGTGGCCTAAAAATGTTTTTGATTCACGTCTACAGTTTCAAAGTTCTTTCCTGACACGAAATGTATCGACGACTTAAGTAAACGATTATCGTAACGTAGTAGTATCTGATGACTAGAGTAAATACTAAAAAAATTCCCAATCGAAGTACTGTACTTTCAATTACACTTTTTATATAGTGTGACTGAAATGCACTTTGCACTCGATCGTACTTTTCGACTTGTATACCTCAGATAACAATAAAAACTTCTGCACCACACTCGCATATAGAGCATACGTATGAAATGTGTTCCGAAGGCAGTGTATGTACACTCCCGATACAAGTACTACACTCAGCAAATATGCAGTAAATGCCATAAGGCACCAGGAAATTGCTGAAAGTCTGAAATAAATATTGTTCAGGTAATATTGAAGCTAGATGAATAACGCTTATGCTATTATGAAATAATAAACGTGGTCTAGTATTTTTCTTCAAATGGACCAGGTATCTTAATACTTATAAGCGGTAGAGTACACCGTGATTAATTTTCTATTTTCCCAGTAAAAATAATAATAAGGATATTGGACATAAAACTTTACGAATTTTCCATACCACCTAACATTTATCCACGGTAACATCCATTTTTACACGGCAGCACGAGCCACGAAAGCAGAGGCCGTCAACATCGTGTGTATCCGGTCGGGCGCCCGCGCGGGAGTGCATCATCGTCTGCATCGCGCAAACGTGAACAGTATACATATAGTACAAGTGCGTTTCGAGTGCGTCTGCGTGGCGCGATCGGTGCACACTGGGCTCCACGCATAACATGTACACCGTAGGGAGCAGCGCACGCAGGTCCTCACCGCGGTCTCTCGTTGCCGGGTTAAAGCGGAATACCACGGTGTAGAGCAAGTAACGTTCACTGCTCATGCTCAGTAAGATTCCTAGAGCCCGGAGAGCCGAGGCTCGCCCGTGGAATAATTGATCCAATCGAAACTCGTCTTGCTGCCGCCACGTTTTGTGCACTGACGCGACGCTC